CGCTTCCAGAAAATGTAGTCAGTAAATCTACGGTTAAGGGTTTCGAGCGTCAGTTAGACGCTCTTGGGTGGCAACACGAAACCTTTCCCTTCTCCTGACCATATCCATCTTCAAACTTTCAGTTCTTATTCTGTCATTATCTTCACTCTTTGGTGTTATCCTTCATTTTAATGACTTTCATTCCCCTTTATCTTCCATTTACTTTCTACTTCTTTCTTACTTCACGTAACCTACACAGCGCGGACTGCTAGTGCAGGGAACGTGGGCAGTAGTTGGTTGATCAGGGTGTTTCGGGTGTTTCGTTTTAGGTCTATCAAGAACTAACACCTTATCATTTCCTGGCTCAACGATTTGCTCAAGAAGGAACACCCAAGGGATTTTCCTATCGTTCCAGTCCATCTGAATCTGAATGGCCCATAATACATGTTCAAAAGCAGCTCTAAAAAGAACGAAACATATGATATACAGGTGATGGCTCATATGCTACTATGCCACACCGGCACACGGCCAGTTATTGCATGGAAGTGCGAGCGAAACCTTTCGAGGGAATACCTTGCATGGAAGCAGGTTCCCTGGGGATGGTTCCACGAGTGGCCGTATTACTTTAACTGGACATCTGTTTAAATCTGCTTACGTTATTGTTCCTGCTTTTTAATTTCTTTAATGCCTTAATCCTGCCAATTAGTTTAGTACCTGTTTTGGATCCATTGTAAAAAGCGTGAAAAATTGATTATTTTTTTGCGATCCTGTTGTACACATTGATCAGACCACATAGTTGGACTGCACCTCGAATCACCGAGGAGTATACCATTTATTTATTTATTTATTTATAAGCCTAAAGCCAAGTCTGTGGAAGACAAAGCGTCACCTCCAAAGCGCGGGTTGAAATCGGTTCTTCATAGGATCGACCATTTGGAGAAACTGCTCTATGACAAGCCGCTTTCCACGCCACGGATCCCCGAGACCGCCAAAGTCCCTAACCGGGAACGTTGTCTCATCATAATGAACTCCCCGGAGTCGGATAAGACAACAGCAGCAGAGAGAATTTTGGATGACTAATTGTTTCTGAAACGTATGGTCTCCCTACTTTTCGACGAGGGGGAACAGGGGATTAATATCGTCTCTGCTTTTCGACTTGGCAGAAAACACGAAGATTCTTCCAAGGTGCGTCCCCTTAAGGTTGTGTGCCAAAGTGAAGATGAATGCCGTCGGATCCTTCGACGAACTTCGCGCCTCAAGGGGGAGCCCTTTCACGTGTTACGGGATCTATCCCCGGAAGACCGCGTTAAAATGAAGATCGCAGTCGATGAATTGAGAACTCGCCGTGCGAACGGTGAAATCGATTTGCGTATTGAGGATTTTCGCGTGGTTCGGAAAGTGCAGAGAACTCGCTGGAAGCCAGTTCTTGTCCTTCCCGGACATTAAGATCAACAACTGGATTGCACGTACTTTTTGCGAACGTGCGCAGTCTGCGTAATAAACTAAATGAAGTTGTGCATCTTGCGTCAGTACTTCTCCCGGACCTTATGGCGTTTACGGAGACATGGTTGTCCCCAGAAATCCCAGATCCCGAAGTACATATTCCTGGTCACAGTCTCTCCCGAGCTGATCGCATTGGTTTGAGATCGGGGGGCGGCATCATACTCTACTGGAAGGAAAACCTGAAGGTCCATGTAGTTGATGTTGTCTTGGGAAGTGATGACTGCTCCGAAGTGCTTTGGTATCGTATTCACGATGGATGTAGATCTCTCCTTCTCGATGTCTTCTACAGAGCTCCCCTGAGTTCTGGCGATCGTTTACTGGCCTCTCTAAAGAAGCATGGTGGAAATAAGGATTGTTTATTAGTGGGGGACTTTAATGCCCCTAATATTGATTGGGATCTTCTTCACTGTGATGCTGCACCTGCCTCCTTCGATTCTACGTTTCTGGAAGCTGTTCTTGAAAGCAATTTAATTCAACATGTCGCGGCACCTACTCGCATTATCCCTGGTCAGACGCCGCACATACTCGATCTTGTGCTTTCGCCTGCACCATCGGATGTTTCTGATTTGAATGTCTTACCACCAATCGGGAGGAGTGACCACTGCCTACTTTCCTTTCAATGGACCACACGGTTGAGCATTCACAACCACTGTGTCTATCTTCACAATTTCGGACGTGCTGATCCAAACCGCTTGAAGAAGGTCGCTAGCGAGCAGGATTAGAGTCTCCCTCAGCACTTGGACGTCGATAATGCTTGGAGCCTTGTTTACTCGAAAATGTTGTCCCTTATAGATGATGTCCCCATATCCAAACGAAAACCATTTACTAGAGGTCCCCCCTGGATTGACCGAGAGCTACGATCGCTCATGAACCAAAGACACAAACTTTGGAATCGCTATAGGCTTTCAAGATTGGAAACCGATTATAGCAATTATAAATTGGTCCGGAACGTATGTACCTCGAAAAAAACGCACGAAACGGCAGCAATACGAAGGTCATCTGGCTGAACATTCCAAGTCTATACCGAAGCTGCTTTTCTCCTACTTGAAAAGGAGCACCAGAGTCATAAGTGGAATACCGTCTTTGCATTCCCACGATCTTAATACCGTGCTCCACGACGATGCTCATAAAGCTAATCTTTTAGCTCACCATTATTCATCGGTCTATACAACGGGGGTGCCGTCAGTTGATTGTTATTCATCCTTGCTCTCAGCGATATGGACATAAATGTTGCTGTGGTATGCAAACTTTTGTGCGAGTTGAATCCCAACTCTTCCCCGGGACCTGATGGACTGCATCCTCTTTTCCTCAAGATTGTGGCCGAATATATCGCTGTTCCTATCTGCCACGTATTTCGGTGCTCACTTGAGGCCGGGCGTCTTCCGCTTGCCTGGAAAGTGGGCATAGTCAAGCCCATATACAAAGGAGGTAATCGGCAAGATCCTACGAATTATCGGCCCATTTGTCTAACATCTGTCGTCTGTAAGGTTATGGAGAGGATTCTTAAGCGAGCTCTCAACCTGCACTTCCAGAACCTCAAGATCATTTCAGCTGCGCAGCATGGGTTTTGTCCTTCGCGTTCATATGTCACCAATCTTCTGGTAGCTCGAGAAAAGCGGGCTAAATCCATGGATGCTGGTAAGCGGCTAGATGTCGTATTTATGGATTTTAGTAAAGCTTTTGACAAGGTTCCACACGAAATTTTGCTTAGCAAACTTCGCAGTATTGGTGTTTCAGGAAAAATCCTCTCTTGGCTCACTGATTTCCTGCATGACCGCGCTTTCCGTGTGCAAGTAAATGAGGCTTTTTCCTTCCCTGTAAATATGACCAGCGGTGTTCCGCAAGGCTCCGTTCTTGGCCCTGAGCTTTTTAAAGTCTTTATTAATGATCTGGCATCTGTACTACTGGCAGATTGTTTGATTTACGCAGATGATTTTAAGATATGGATGGAAGTCTCCTGTCTAGATGAAGCGGATTTACTACAACCAAGGCTCGATTCGCTGCATGATTGGTCGATCAGGTGTCAGTTACCCATAAATCACGATAAATGTTCCGTTCTTCTGATCGGTGCCTCCGAACCATTTGGAATTTATCATATCGGTGGGTTTTTGCTGCCGAACTCTAATCGTGAGAGGGACCTCGGCGTCATTGTGGCCCCAGACCTAAAATCGACCGAAGATGCCTTGAGGAAAGTCGCTTCTGCCAACAGGTTGTTTTTCGCCATACGACGCTCCTTCTCTCGCTTGACTCCGGAGATCTTCAGGCTTCTGTTCACTTCTCATGTACGTCCGATTCTTGAGTATGGGACTGCCCGCTGTTTGTCCTCTTTCCAAATTTGAATGCAACTTGATTGAAAAAGTTCAGCGGAGAGGATCTAAATCCGTTCTGGAGTTACGAAACCTGCCTTACTCGCATCGTCTCCAGTACCTGAACTTGTTCTCTCTAGCCTACCGTCGAGATCGCGGGGATTTGATCTTCACACGGCGTACCGTTAGAGGGGAACTTGAAGTATAATTGCAGAATTTCTTTCCACTCAATTCTTTCAGTTCGACTCGGGGTCACCATTGGAAATTGTTTAAACAAAGGAGACTTCGGGTCCGTTGTGATGTCACTCTGTCTACCAGAGTAGTGAACGAATGGAATAATCTACCTGTGTGTGTCGTTGATGCGCAGTCGGAGAAATGTTTCAAACGCCAATTGGATTCTTACCTGTTGAGTGAACTCGGATCTTGTTGCTTCTTGTGTCAATGCAGCGGTTCCATTGGAACCGACTTGCAATGTCCACCTTGATCCCTGTGACGAACGGGAGGCGATGGAGCTGACAAAGGATGTTTCCTTCTGCTCTCTACATTCCAATGTTCCAATGTTCTGTCGCGCGTCAGCGTGTCACTGTAGCAAGTCAGCAGGTATTGTAGGCGGTCCGTGGGCGCCACGTTAACAGCTAAGTTATCGATCGGTTTTGCTACGTGTTATCCTTACCTTCCTATTCCTCGCCGTCACTCTTCTCTCTTCCGTGCTTCCTGAGCTGCTTCTCTTACATCGACCTCTTACTAGGCGGTTGAGCATCCAGCCGTCTACGAGGTATTTATTTTGTGTTGTGTCTCTAAGGGTCTATTACGTCCCGTCATAGTTGGACATGAAAGAGCTTGGAACGCCGGACCGAGGGAATATTACAGGTATGATGTCGAGCATAACTTGTATTGTGACTGTTTGTCCCCTTTCTTTTTGCCTTCCCATTTTGTCTTAGTATCGTTAGAGCAGCCATCTTCCGTGCTTTTCACTCCAGATTCTCCATCAACGGCTGTACAATGCCGTCCAGTTCACCATGAGGTGTAAGTACACTTCGTGGTGAGCTGTGTTAATACAGGCGCACCCTCCATCCAGCTCCGACTCTTACTAGGGGGTTGTCCACCCGCCTACAAAGTATCTTTTACCTTTCAGTACCATCGGTCTCTTACGACCCACATACGCCCCGGAATCAGAAACTATCGGAATCCACAACCGGACGCGTACTACAGTTCCAAGACACCCAGGTCTCAGCTGTTTATTTGATTGGGCATTCTTGGTATTATATTTTACTTTCCGTACTCAGCATCTTCTCTCGCTACTCAGTACGCATGGATGCCTACACTTATCTATTGAAGTTTTTAATAGTCGGTAATGCGGCTACTGGCAAGACTTGCATTATGCGATGGTTTTTGGATGGGAGATTTAGAGAGGAATCTCTGCATACTATTGGAGTTGAGTTCGGGACAAAGGTTGTGCAGATAGACGGAAAACCGATAAAGCTTCAAATCTGGGATACTGCAGGCAAGTTCCCTACGATGTACTTACTGGTCCTACAGGACAGGAGCGTTTCCAGTGCGTTACTCGTTCCTACTACAGAGGGGCCGCTGGTGCTTTAGTAGTATACGATATTAATGATCGCGATTCTTACAACGCTGTTTGTGCTTGGATATCCACCGTTCGTAACCTCGCTCTCCCGAACGTAACAATTTTGTTGATAGGAAATAAGCTTGACCTGTCTGAAGAGCGCAGGCAGGTGAGCGATCTTATCATGTCTCACGAATTTCATTGGTGTCCGGTTTTCCTTTTTACGCAGTTCCCCCCCCCCCTCTATCTTCGTATGCACATTGGATTTCCCATACGTTGTGACACTATGCCAATTGTACTATTGGCCGTGTTGTATATATATATATATATATATATATATATATATATATATATATATATATATATATGCTTCTCTTTCTCATATAAATGTCTACCTGTACTCTATTCCATTAACTTGCACACCTCGCTTAAGCCAATTGTATTCGATTTCCATAACATTTTTGTGTTCATGGCATTTCCGTATAGTATACTTTCCGACCTCGTGAACTTATCTCGGATCCTTTGTAAACAACTTATTTCATATCCTCATTAACTTAAGGTTTATGTCACCGTTTCCTTATGCATTACTCGATTTATTTTCTTCGTTATCTTCCTCTTAAGTGATTGGCTGTTGTTTGATATCCCCGGTGTGGCTGCGCTTGATGTACATGTTGACAAGGTGCCTACCTGTCTATTACCCGCTACCTCGTCCATACTAGCTCTAGGAGACAGTTGGTCGATGCTGGAGGAGACGGGGTACACAGTCCTTGTGGCCCTGTTGGCATCAAAGAGTGGTTCCATGCACTCAGTGTGGAGCGGACTACGGTCCAGCCACCGCCTTGTGTGCGTTTGCTTCCCCAACTACCACGTGTTTGTGTTTGCCTGTGAAGGAGTGTGGGCCGGCTCCGTTGATGAAACGTTGCTTCCATCCACATGCCTCCCGGACTTATTCCTTCGGGTTTACACTGAATATGGGGTGTGTGGTTGGAGCTGTGGGTGGTGCAGCGCAAGCCATCCATGGCCCCTCTGTAGGCGCAGGCGTCCTGTGGCTGACCATAGTAACAGACGAATCCGAAACCGGATGCCGCCAACCATGTATGTATGTGTGCCCCATGCTGAGGCTGCTGTTGCATTCTTGATGCTTTTTCACCGCAGTTGGGCTAAACCAACTTAAACTAGGTCTTTTTAAACTGGATAAATTTCATTCCACTTTATTTGGTTTGTTCGGACTACCTGACTAATCTTCTTTTAACCTTCCACGTTGCTTGCGCTAATTTCGCTTATTTTCGTTAACTTTGTTGCGCTTGTAGCATTTTTGAGTAACTTGTGGACATTTTGTACTTATCGCGGATTCGTTACTAACCAACTTACGTTACATGCTAATCTAGGGTAGAGTTATGTCTGCATAGCCGTATTCTTTAACAGATGTTTTATTTGATAATGTAATTTGAAGTGGTTGGCTGTTGTTTAACATCCCCCGTGTGGCTTCGCTTGATGTACATGTTGACAAGGTGCCTACCTGTCTATTACCCACTACCTCGTCCATATTGGCTCCAGGAGACAGTTGGTCGTTGCTAGAGGGGACGTGGTGCACAGTTTTTGTGGTCGTGCTAGGCTCGAAGAGTGGTTCCATGCACTCAGTGTGGAGCGGACTACGGTCCAGCCACCGCCTTTTGTGCGCTTGATTCCCCAAATACAGCGTGTTTGTGTTTGCCTGTGAAGGAGTGTGGGTCGGCTCCGTTGATGAAACGTGGCTCCCATCCACATGCCTCCCGGACTTATTCCTTCGGGTTTACACTGGATATGGGGTGTGTGGGTGGTGCAGCGCAAGTCACCCATGGTCCCTCTGTTGGCGCAGGCGTCCTGTGGCTGACCATAGTGACAGGCAAATCTGAATCCGGATGCTGCCAACCAACATGGTATATATATATATATGTATATATATGTATATATATATATTATGGTTGGCGGCATCCGGTTTCGGATTTGCCTGTCACTGTGGCCAGCCACAGGATGCCTGCGCCTACAGAGGGACCATGGGTGGCTTGTGCTGCACCACCGGTGGCTAGGCACGACATCAGCGATTTCATGTACTACCGCCATGTAGAAGGCTGACAACCACGCCGTCGTCTCCAGCGAGGTCCTTGACGAGCGGATAGAGCGCGACGCGGTAGACGCTCAAGTGCCATGCGTAGGACGTGACCGAGCCATCTCAACTAGCGCAGCAAAACCAGTTTGTTGTAGGAAATACTCGCACTGTCAAAGATGCGATGTGGAACGTCATTACTATTAACTCGATGTTGCCACCAAACACTAGTAATCCTCCTTAAGCATGTCTTCCACGCAGATCGGCCAGAGCTCGCTCCCATACACCAATACTGAGCGAACTGATGCGCTGCAAACGCGGCCCTTTAGCGAGAATGAGACGCCGCGACGGCATCACAAGTGCCTCAGATTGGCAAATGCCGCTCGGGCTTTAGCGATGCGAAGCGAAACTTCTTTGCTGTTTTGTGCCGTCAGCAAAATCCCGGCTCCCAAGATAGACGAAACTATCTACCTGTTTAAGTTGTACACCTTCGAGAGTGAGCACGGGAGCAGGTGAAAGCTAATCCTTGAGCAATCCTTTACACTTCGATGGGGCGAAGCTCATGCCATACTCAGGTGCTTCAACCGCCAAACGATCCAGAATGAGTTGCATACTCTGAGGATCGTCACCAAGTAAGGCGATATCATCAGCATAATCTAAGTCGGTCGCGCGCTCACCCGGTAAAAGCTCTAGGTCAGTGTTGGAAACCTTCTAGAGCATTCGACAGAACGTCTTCGATTGCGAAGTTGAAGAGGAACGGGAACATAGGGCAACCCTGTCGCACACCGCTATTGACAGCGAATTGCGAGGAAAGCCTGCCATAGACCTTCACTCTGCCGGACGTGTGAAGGCAAAGTATTCGTAAGATGGCGGTATATTTCTCTGGCACCCTGTTCTTTAGCAAGCAACGTCATAAAGCAGGTTGATCAACAGAGGCAAAAGCGGCACGTATGTCTAGAAATGCAACGATAGTAGAGCTGTGATAAATGTGACGATGTTCGAGGAGTTGGCGGAGCGTGAAGATTTGATCCACGCATCTGCGGCCGGGACGGAAACCAGTTTGTTCTTCACGGTAAGATGATTCACGTATTGGGGATAGCCTGCGTAGCAGAATAGGTGCCAATAGTTTAGTGGCAACCGAAATAAGACTGATCGCGCGATGATTTATACATGAAGTGCGAGCGCTTTTCTTGAAAATCGGGACAAATGATTCGCCCCTAGAGGAAGACATTTCTCTTCATGCCAGATTTTTGCGGACGGCGCGGTCAGCTGGTTAATGATCGCCACACCGCCGTACCTAAACAGCTCCGGAGGAAGTCCGTCTGAGCCGGCAGCCTTAAACCGCTTCAATCGTCGAATCTCGAGGCAGACTTCCGCTTCGCTGGGTGGATTCAGTGGGACGAGCCAGGGTGGACAACAAGTTGTATTGCATGTTCTGATGTATAGTGGAGGCCAGTTGAACTGTGAGTGAAACTGCTCGGCACAGCGGTCCATACGCCCCTGTTGGTTGGTGATCGGGGATTCATCCACCTCGAAAATGGCCTCACTGGCACCAGGCATCCTGAGGCCAGTGGACCGAATGAGTTGAAAAATCCTGTGAGTCTTGCCAGAGAGGGCAGCGGTCTCCATCTCTAAAGCACGTTCAGATCACTATGTCTCGCGATCCTTGCGTAAACTTTGCTTGTGCAGTCTGTTTCAGAAAGGCGCCGCTGTTACAGTCTGATTCTGCCGGGATATCTTTGCGGCGTTCGAACAGCTCAAGAGAACGAGCAGAGATTAAAGCCTTCAAGAGGCGTCGATTTAGGCCGCAGCATGACTGTCCGGAAATGGCCATCACTTTCCCTATGCAAGTCCTGTGTTGCTCTACGTCTTGTGGTGGATTGCAACTGAGTACATATGCCAATGAAGACTGATAGCTCGCCTGGACAGAGGAATCAGTTAGTCAGTTTACATCAATCTTTCCTGTTTCGGGACCCCCCAAAACACATACAGGTGTTCGCGCAGGCTAGTGCATGATCTGAGTCAGCGAAGGTGAAGCAAAAGGACCTGCAGTCCAGTACGCTGCCGCGCCATCAGAAGCTAATTGCATTGTGATCAATTTGAGATCACGGATGTGTTTGCGAAGAGGTTGACCAATCCCAGAGCCTATCCAAGGCACTCTGAATGGCCTCAGAGCCCCCAGGGATATCCACAATATTCCAGAGCTTGAGGTCATCAGCAAACAATAGCGATGGTGCTTCAAGCTCCTGGGGTAGTTCATTGACATAAATTGCGAAAAACAACGGCCCTAAAGCCGAGCATTGCGTAACGCCGCAAAGAACAGCTTGTCTAAGCAAAGGGCTACGTCCCACGCGTACACACAGTTCTCTCCCGTTTATGAAAGCAAACACCCATTTAAGGGCGCTTCCAGGTATCCCATACGATCTCAACCTTAATAAGAGTCATAGATGTGGGACAGTAACAGAAGTTTTGGTGAAGTCAACGAAAGGCACGTCGATGGCGTGACCGTTTTCTACTGCCTCAGCCCAGTGTTTACTAGCTACAATTAAATTTAGCAGATACGCAAATTACTTACGTAATGTATGCTTTGCAGCGCTGAGGTTATATTTATTCAGGTGATTCTCCATTGAGTCCTTGACCAAATTTTCAAACAACTTAACAACTACGCTTGTCAAGCTGACAGATCGGTAGTTCGCAAGCAGAGCGCTGCCACCACCCTTAAAAAACGGACAGATGGTTGCCTCCTTCCATTCTGAAGGTAAGGCACAGTTGGCGAGCGATAGTGTAAACACGCATGTGAAACGGTCTACTTACCTCAGCCGCCAATCCAAGCATCGGCTTCGGATGAATCGGGTAACGGAAAGTGAGGATTGTTAGCAAACAAACAATTGGCGTGTGATGAAGTCGCATGAAAGTGACTAGCAGAAACAGTAGCTGATGAGCACGTTGTAATACAGTCTATGGTTTTGCGAGAGGTCGTGACACTAACCGGTTGCCCAAGCCGAAGTAGGGAGTTGACTTAGGGGACTCCACCCCGAGCCTTTGGCTTAATAACCTACCCGCAAGACAGCGGGGCGAATTTAGGGAATCGCGCACATTAGGAGGCGTTGACTAAATGATCAGTTCATGCGTCTTTGTTTGGTAGATTACCAAACAGGGGCCAAATACTCTCAATGAAGTCAGCACAATTGCTGGAATACAATGCCCAACGGAGGTGGAACATTGTCGCCGAACACTTTGCTGGCATGGAGTACACCCGAACCACCCAGCTATCACCACGAGGAGGTAGTTCAGCAAGCCAGATACAGTCCACTACATGGAACAATCCATACTTGCAGCGGAAGTGCATAAGTTAGTTGTTCGAACTGTTTAGGTTGGTTTCCAAGCATCCTTCAGAAGTGGTCCAGCGTTTTACGGCAATAACAAGAAGGAGAAGTTCATGGCAAGGTAAGCAGTACTGTAACGAAACGTTCAAATGAAGTAACATGGCCATTCATACGTGGCAAGGTGCGCAACCTAATGCAAGTAATTCACTATAGTTTGTTGATTGAATAAACTGAAATGCCCATTGTCACCTCTCATTCACCTACGTGCCTCACAATTACGCACATCCCACATTGCTTGTGGTACACCGAAGGGAAGAATGGTCAAAGACCAAAACATGCCTTACGCCAACAGGCTGAAAGGAATATAATGCACTGCGGCGGGTGAGAACGGATTCACTGTGATCCTGTACACACAACCTTTACAACTAAGCGCTGTTCTTCATGGTTTCATAGATATCGTAATTTGATAATACTGATAGCTCTAGTTTTGCAATGCGTGTGACAGTTTCGTTAACCAAATATCCATCGTTAAGATAAAAGCCAAGACAGGCAAACTGACAATAGTTCTTCACTTCTTCGTCGTCAACTTGTTCCCTTGTGTATCGCCACAGCTGAGGACTCTGGGCTTAGTTATGCCTTCGGACGTACTTTATTTGGATTGATTTACTCATAGATGGGCCAGCATGCGAAATAATTAATCATCTTATCCCGTGACCCCTGGTTCTATCTCCCCGGATTTATACTTCGTATACGTGGCTAATAGAGTGCAAGTCTATTTGAGTGGAGGGTTAGACACACCTCACTCCTGCTTGGGGAGGGGGTACTACCAACGTACCCGGTAGTTCATCATCCTAAATTACGTTGGACGAATAAGTCATTCTTCCATGTTCAACACTCCAGGTCGGCCGTGACACATGTAAGCGTCGCACATCTTACATTGGCTGAAGTACGATCCTCCTATAGTTTAAACTATGACAGTGAGTGTCTCCAGATGGTTAGCGTGGAAACACTGTTGTACCAATGTACTCAGGGCTTTTCCCAATTCATAACAGAAAGACTGGCCGCGCAACTTGGGATTTACTAACCAGGTGGAAACTGGTATTTCGATTCAACACTTCACGACACCACCTTTCCGTTACTAACCACTAAGTAGATTTAATCTGAGGTAGCTAAGAGTACCTCTGTATTTTAAGTTGCCTCTGGCTAGCAGGCTTTCACCTGCGCAGTGTATCGATTGAACATAAAATGAAGAATAGCGGCGCAACTTTCATAACAAAGTCCGAACTAAACTATCCTCCTCCAACGCAGACAGATTGTCTTCCTGTATCAGTTGGAAACTTATTTTTCGCTGTGAATAGGACTACGGAAAGCTCTTTTGTCCACCATCCAATGTGCTTGTTTAGGTGTTGTTCGTGAGACCTTCATGTTCAATTCATAACATATTATTCTATCCCTCATAGCCCCACTCTCTGCTATCTATTAGGAAGCTGCACAGCTGCTGTTCGAGACATTTTCCGCTGCTCAAGATCTGATTGTCAAGTGCACGACCGGCCTTACCACACTATGCGTTGCTTTAATACTCCCAGTGATGGAAGATTCGCAACCAAGTCCCACATCAAGCACATCTGGCTCCCGTTCCCCCACCTCTTCCACAAGCTCTTTGCATCCGCGCCAGTTCGCCCTCATTGTGGCTAGCGTTGGTGATTCGCAGGCCTTTCTACTCAGCAAATTTCACGGAATTCGTGAGTTGACTGGGTGGATGCCCCGGAGTACTGCCAGTCCCGATAGTTGCACTTTTCCGGAGGATAAAACCAAAGCCTCCAGTCCACTTCCTTCATCCCCGCCTGCAAGAGATTTTCGCGATTGCGGTGGTGCATTGGGTTCCGTGTATGCGGACAACAGCCCGGAGTTGAACAATCTCATATGCGCAGGTGGGTTCGAACGGTAGCATTGGCAATCCTGTCTGGGTAATCTAACCAGACAGTTTTTAATTAAGCCGCTTCATCCTTATTTTCATATGGCTTTCATTCACATTATGGTATATTTTTACTTAGTGGGTACATCTTTCTGCTTTAACGTAGTTAACCACAACAAAGTGGACTGTTCCATACAGTACTCGTCTCTTATTGTTTCCGCTTCTCAAACTCATACGACATCATCACACGCCAATTGTTCGTACGTTAACAATGCTTGTTACCTGATTCCTTTGTTCATGGATCTGCTGGCGATTCTCGTTGCACCGCGAACCATAGAGTTCAACCCGTGGCTCTCCTTCAATCCCGATCCTAGTTCCGTCTGGCTTGCTTCAACATACGGATACTCATGTAGATTAGACAATAATCCAGTCTTGCGCGCACTATGAAGTTCCTCGATGTTGACATCTGTTACCTTTTGGAAACCCGATGCAGTTTGCTTACGCTGATATCCCCCACTAATCACGAAGCTAGGTGTAACCCAGAAGAGCCTTAACGGCTTTGGTTGGTGTAGGTATAGCACTAAGTGGCAAGGCCGAGGCCGAGTAACAGCCGACTGTGTGCCGTTCGGCTTCGGGTTTCATGTAGAATCAGCAGGCGCTGCGAGAAGAGACGCAACTTGTTTATGATCTCTGCGCACACTGACTGTTTACATTAGTGGCTCGATCAAGTACGACTTTTATCGGGAGTTTCAGCAACTCTTGAGTGTTGCTAAGAATTCCTATATCGTTATCTTCGCTGGGGATTTCAATGCACGAGTTGGCCGCCTTTTACCATACGAACGCCATCTTGGTGGTCAGCACGCTGTCGATGGGAACCGCTCTGATAACGGAGCGAGACTTCTCACATTGTGTGAAGAAAACCATCTGTTTCTTTCGAGCACAAACTTAAGGCATACGAAGAAGCGTCCCGCATTTTGGTGCCCCACTTTTGCCAATACAAGCGTGATCGCAAATTGATCAAATCGCAAGCAGCTTCAGATGGAGGGCAGCTTAAGGGACTACAAGTCTTTTTGGTCCACCTTCGCTGGCTCAAATCTTGCGCCTGTCTGCGTGAAAATCTGTATGTGTTTTGAGAGGTCCCCAACAGCGAAGCACCGCAAAATTGCTGCGAACAGATCAATTGATTTCTCGCTCCAGACGAGCTACCAGTCTTCACTGGCATAAGCATTCAGTTGCAATAAACCGCAAGACATAGAGCAACATTGGACTTGTGTACAGAAGGCGCTAACCACTTCCGGACGGTCAAGCTGCAGCCTTACTGGACGCCTCTTAAAGGCTTGGATCTTTGCTCGCTCTCTGGAGCTGTTAGACTGCGGCAGAGATATCCCGGTAGAATCAGATAACAACGAATGGCGGTAATCTGCCAATCGGTAGTTCAAACAAAGCCTACACAAGAATCACAAGGCTTTATGGAGATGCAGACCGCTGTCCTCTCTGGCAACACTCGCAAGCTTCTCTAACTCATTCGGTCCACTGGCCTCAGGGGGCCTGATGTAAGTGAAGCTATTTGCGAGGCGGATGGGTCACCAATCACCAACCAACAGAGGCGTTTGGACCGTTGGACCGAGCTATTTCACTCGCAAATCAACTGGCCTCAACCGTCCATCCATGCACACAGTACACCCTGTTGCCTACCTTGGTTCGTTCAACTGAGTCCATCCAGCAAAGTGGAGGTCTGCCTCGAGATCCGACGCTTGAAGCGATCCATGGCTACCGGCTCAGGCGGTAGCGTGGCAATCCCTAACCGGCTGCCTTCGTTGTTCACAAAAATCTGGCACGAACAAAAATTGTCTTCCGCATGGGGCGAATCAGTTATCGTCCCGCTTTTCAACAAAGACCCTCGCACTTCATGTGTAAACAATCGAGATACTAGTCGCACTTTGGTCACCTCCAAGCTATTAGAATCTATTCTGCTTCGTTGACTATTCCAATACGTGAATCCTACCACCGTAAAGAACAAGCTGCTTTCCCTTCCGGTCGTGGATGCGTGGATTAAATTTTCACACTCAGCCAACATCTCGAACACCACCACAGTTACCACAGGCCCACTATCGTTGCATTCCTAAACACACAGACCGCAGTTGACTCCTTTGATCGACCTGCTTTATGGCTTTGCTTGTTGAATAGCAGGGTGCCAGTGACATATACCGCCATCTTACGTGCACTTTGCCTCCATAGCTCCGGCAGAGTGAGGGTCTACGGTAAGCTTTCCTCGCTCTTCGCTGTCAATTGCGACGTGCGACAGGGCTGCCCTATTCCTCTTTAATTTTATAATCGAGGACATCCTGTCAAGAGCTCTAGAAGGTTTCCAAAAAGTTGTCCTACTACTTCTACCGAGTGAGTGCGCGACCGACTTAGATTATGCTGATATCGCCTTACTTGATGACCATCCACAAGGTATGCAATACATTCAGAATGGTATAGGTAGAAATTCGTCACATCTAGACTCACTCAGACAGTCGTCATACGCCCGGAAAAGCACTGTACGCGCGTTTCATCCTTTCGGGAATCGTCAGCAGTGCGCATTCTATCGGACCCTAGTAGGGCTCGAACTCGCAACTCGACTGTTGCCAGTCTATGGTTGAGACCACTGAGCTACGGGGGACGGCAACGACCATCGTGAATTAGTTACTAGATGTGATATAGCGCCGCTCACTATCCACTGACTTATACATTACTGCCGTGCAGAGGACTGGGTAGCCCCCTCACCAAGCGACGAGATTACCAAACTTAAGCCGCTAATTAACTTATGGCATTATAAGCACTTTGGTCTGCGTGCTACTTACATAGAAGTAGTAGTGGATTTGAATGTTATAGGCAGAAATTCGTCATATCTGGACGGTTTGCGAAAGGATGAAACGCGCGTACAGTACTTTTCCGGGCGTGTGACGGCTGTCTGAGTGAGTCTAGATGTGACGAATTTCTACTTATACCATTCAGCCCCCCCCCCTACTACTCCTCTGTAACCTTCAGGATGGTTTGGCGGCTGAAGCATCTAAGCACAGCATGAGTTTCGCCTCCTCGAACTGTAAAGTGCTGTTTCAGGATTGGCCTATACCTGCTCTCGTGCTCATCCTTGTAGGTGCAGAACTTGAACAGGTAAATAGTCTCGTCTACCTTGGCGGCTGCACTTTTGCTGGCGTCACTTTCAGCAATGAAGTTTCTTTTCACATCGCCAAGACCCGATCAGCAGTTGTCAAGCTGAGGCAATTGTGAAGTCGTTGTGACGTCCCATTCTCACTAAAGAACCACGTTTACAGTGCCTCTGTTCGTCCAGTCTTGTTGTATGGGACGAGTCCTGGCCAATTCGCCTGGAATACATGCGTCGCCTTTCTGTCTTCGACAAGGGTTTTCTGAGTTGGATCGCTCATGTGCGGTGATAACACTGAGTTCACAGTGATGACATTCGACGTCGCGTCTTGGGGAATGCGAGTATTCGCTTCAACAAACTGCTTTTGTTTTGCCATTTGAGATGGCTCAATGATGTCCTACGTATGGCGCCTGAGCGTTTGTCACGTCGAGCTCTATTCACTCGTCAAGGATCGGGCTGAATGGGACCGCTTGGTGTAAATCCTTCCACTTGCCGAGACAGCAATGCAATCGCTTACGTTGCGTCTAGCCGCCATTAGACCCGTGCATCTTCCAGGATGGGGACCCAAAGATGAAGAGTGGCAGGGGCTTTACACGCTTGAAGCTATGAACCGCAACAGGAACTAATGGAAGAACTATATGTAGGATTGCACTGATTCACCTTTTTAATCCATAAAACAGTTAAAGCAACAAAAAACGGCGTGTGAAAAGTACAATGTATAGTTGGCTATATTTTGGATCAAATTGTATTTCTTTTTGATTTCGATGGTTTTTCAATGGCCCATGTCCCGTTTTTGGACTGTTGCGATATATATATATATATATATATATATATATATATAGGATTAAAAAGGTGAATCAGTGCAATTCTTGGGTGCAAAATGTTGCTTGGTGATCTGTTCCTCAATATGTTTGAAACTCGTCCGCAACCTGCACACAGGTGAGCGCATACTTCCCCATCTCTGGACAATTGCGTATTATTTCATGCAAACATAAGGAGCGGGACACTGCCTTGATGCTGCTGAGTTACAATGCTTTCTTGTGACTTAGAGTATACAAGTATCCCATTAGGTTCAGTTCATTCATGATCTCGTAACTGGGTCACAACAAGACAAAGCTTTGTTCGATTTCCCGGCAACACTTCATCATGATGCTTTGGTCAAGTA